GGGGGGGGTCATATGAAAGGCAGATGAGTATGAAATGCCAGGATGAGATGATAAAAATATGGTATTTGAAGTGCATTTATGGTACAGTTCAAGTCAGATATGAATATTGAATATTGAATCTCAAAAAATGATTAGGATTAAGTTGCATTTAAAGTTCATGGAAAATATGGATTGTCACACAGGTTCACAACCGCAGGTATTTTTTGGTTTTAATCTTTTTCATTATTGCATTATTACCATGATATAAACATGATATTTATTACAATGCAAAAAATAACCAAGACTTTCATCGCAAATTTTTTAGTGTTAGAGTTTTAAAAGATACTTTACACTGTACTTGATATTTTGAAATTTACAAGAATGTTTCTAAAATTGATTTTCCTTTAAGAGTGTCACATCACAAAGAGTTATTGATTTATTGTTTTTCACTGTTATATTTGCACCACATAATTACTATGTGGCCCCTTATCTAAATGTTGTAGCTATAGCTTTTCATTTTGTATCAAAATGGCCATTGTATTATTTGTTTTATTTTACATTATTTAAGTTGTGTTGTTCATGTTCAAATGCCTACATATTGTTTTTGGTACAATTATCAAAAATGATAGTGTTTATTATTTCTGTTATTATTATATTTATTATGAAAGCTTTAAATCTGTTCCCAGCTTTGAGTACAGATTATAGTTGCATATTAAGCCATAAACTTATCAGCTCACTGGTCATTTGGACCACCACTTTCCTAAAATAAACAGCCAAAAATAGCTTTAAAACGGCGCCTTCAATTTTTTAGTTGGAAATTAATCTATTTATTCCTTCATTTAGTTAGTAAAAGTGCGCTAAATAGTGCAGTACTGTGTGCATTTTTAATCATCACTCCAATGTATGGATGACATGTTACATTTTCAAAAATATTAAATCAAATTGAAAACTTTTGAAATCGTGTAGAAAAAATCTAATGGCCATGTTGGACCACTGAATTCAAACAATACTGATAATCCACTGGTTCAAACAAAATTTAACCATCCATGGGTGTAGAACCAGTGGTTAATGTTGCAGACTGATATAAGTAGGGGCAAGTAATTAGTTTTTTTACAATTTTTTGTATTTGCTTGAAAACCAAAGCTTTAAGAATTTTTGATAGTTATTAAATTATATCGGTCTTTTGTAACATGGCAGCAAGAAGAAAAAGATATTACACATTTTCCAATTTGTTTTATGATAGAAAGTGCACTTCTTGGTAAGATTTCTTGAATTTGCTGGCAAAATTTTTGTTCAGCATACTGAATATTGTATTGTTTTACACACGAATTACACACATTTTTGTCATGTGGAATTCACTAATAAAAAAGAAAAAGCAATACTCTTGTTGACTTTTGTTTAACCAAAAGATAAAAGAAAAGTTATTTGGTTTGCCAATTTTATCAAAAACATCAAATACGTATTTGCAAGTGTTTGAAAGTATTTCAATTGCGACCTTGAATACTACATTTTCAATTTTTAGAAAGTTAATAACAAATATTAAATAGGAAATGCTTCCAAACAAATAAGTTTTAAAATGGAAACAATGACATTGATAACAATAGTAGTTAACACCATTTATGTTTAGTTTTGATAACTACATGCACTTTCTCCAACGAAGTAAGTTATATTACCGTCGGCGCTGGTTTTTCAGTTATTGGACATCTTAAAACGTTTTAGAAAAAAATTGATCAAGTTTGAGAAGTGGGGAAGAGAGATGGGTACAATTATAAAATAGAGGTCCTATTAAAATAATTCTATTGTCCCATTTTTGTCATCACATCTGATGTCATCACACTGATGTCATCTAGATTCGAAGATAAAAGCGTCGTTTGGCATAAGTTTTCAACTATCCCAAACGTGAAAGACGCGTCATAGTGTCAGTGTTTCAAGAGGCGGACTGTAGAAAAGACGAAAGGATCAGATAATAAAAATAAAAGTTGTTGTCACGCGTCAGTCATTGGATGCATTGACCGCAGTATGTAGTGTTATGTAATATAGATCAGACAAAGGTCAGTAATGCATCATGCATAGGAATAGTAAAAATTATAGAAATGGCACAAAGCCCTTCAGCCAAATAATTTGTTTTAAACAGAATAGAACAGTAGTAAATATTTAAATGTAGTTTTGATAACTTCTGTCGCCGACAAAGAGGGTTATATTCTCATAGCCCAGCGCTGGTTTCTCAGGTATTAGAAAAGGTTTGAAAAGTTTTACGAAAGTTTGATAAATCTTTTGAGGAGGGCACTTATTAGGGTGTCATTCACCTTGTAAGAGAAAATGGCCGTTTGGCGACATATTCCTGTTTGGAAGTATACCGAAAGAGCAAGACTCGTCATTTTGTCAGTGTTAGAAACGGCAGTCTACAGGTCTGTCTAAGATCAGATAATAGAAATAAAGATTGTTGTCACATGTCAGTCATGGTATACTAACTCAAGCGTGTAGCATTATGTAATACCTCGTACTTTCTGACAGACACTTGCCAAAACACTTTTATTCCTTCACTTTGTGACAACGACGCGCACCTTCGATAAATACGGGAATTTTACGACAAAAGCAGTTATTTCAAGACAACACCAAGAGACGGTTAGGTTGTGTCCCCAGCTCGCCACGAAGAGTGGTAAAATAGTGAAAAGCAGTTCTCTTCTGGTCGTCATGAAGCTTGGTTTAATTCTACCTACCTTGTTGCTGAGATCGTGCATCTCCTGCCTCGACGCGGCTCATATTGACTGGACACCTGAGGAAGATTTTGGTACTTTTTTTTTTTTTTCTTTTTTTTTTTTTTTTTTTGCAAACTTAATTTTGAGGGAATCCATAAAGTTTTGTTCTTCTTTTCAACTCATGTAGTGGACCAGTTATCTGTTCAAAACGATAGGGAATGGGGGAGGTTATATCGTTAACTCTATCTTTCGGAGAGTACAAGACGGGGTCTCCAAATCGATAGAGATCGCTCCAAGGTGACATGACAACTGCTCACCATCACGTTGTCACTGGGTATTATACCCCCTTTACACTGGACGGCGTCCTTTCTGCGTCCTCTCTGCGACCATGAAATTTGGCATCGCTGTGGTCTTAATAAGGAGGCACGAGCATTAATTTTGTATCAGAATGAATGCTCAATGATCGGCCAGTTGTCGGCACGTAAATTATTATAATTCTTTTACTCTCAAATGGGGCCGTACTGCTGGACGCAGAAAGGACGCCGTCCAGTGTAAAGGGGGTTTTAACCAGAATTGCGATGGACGTTTAAAAACTTTCATGCACGGCTGTTATCTCGATCGGTTAATCGAATTTAAAAAAACACGGTACTAGTTTAAACATGTAGTTAAAAAAGAAAACAAAAAGATGTGTATTTTTTATCTTAAAACAATCGTGATAAAATGAAATCGCCACACGTAATGAATAAGTGTACTAAATTCATTTTGACCTTTTCTTCACTTTGTTATCGTATACTGCAGTGATATTTGAAGGGAGTGCAGCTAAGATTCTTTGAGCGATCAAATTGAAAATTTATAAAAAATGTAAACTTGTAAAAATTTTGTAAAAAACACACTTCCCAGTGTTTCCCTTCGGGGCTCTTTATACAAGAGAACTCAAATAAAAACAATTGGATTTCAACAAAGATTTCTAATAATTTTAAATGGTTAAGTTGCGTTTCACTTATAATCTAAAAGCATGCGTCCTGTGCTTATGCAAAGCTAATTTGTCGTGAATCAAACGTTTATGACGCTTTTAGACCAATATGCAAAAACAGCCTCTGAGATAACAGTTATTTTAATAATTCTTAAAACAATTGAATTTTTGCATTAGTTTTTAGGACCGAAAACATCATTGAGCGCAAAGAATTGTTGGTCACTTTTTCTAGATATTTACATATGAATGAAAACAGTAGATTGATTAAAACGCGCTTTAATTACATAACATGCCAAAATGCAGGGTTTTTAAAAAGCTTATTTTAAATTGCAGACTTTCAGCTGGTAACACTTCGCGAATTGCCGCAAGCTGCCGTTAGGGGTCGGGTAGAACGAGGATTGGATGAAAATCTCGCTACAAGACGGTACCAATTTGATGCCTATAGTAAGCACTTCGATCTTCGGTTACATAGGAACAGTCGCATTGATATCAATAGCATCCCAATGTATTATGTAGCGGACGACGGGAGTATCTTGAAGAAAGAAGAAGTGAGTGAAGATGTATGTAATATCAAGTTTCTGATCACTTAGAAACACAGAATGAGCTTGATGCCTTTAAGTGCCAAATAAACAAGTATCAATTTATCACCAAGGTATTCCTATCCAATAATGTTGATCATGTTCATTGTTCCATTACACTTTTGAATCTAGAGTATAATAGTTTATTAATCTACTTTCTGTCTTGTGGCAAAGTCTGTGACCTATTTTATTCTTTATATTTTTAAGGTTTTAACACAGCGACGCTTTTACAGAGCAATTTATATCCGATTTTGTATAAATAACATAGTTATAGGCTAAATAAATATTCATCTTAAAATCTGAATTTTTCACCTCTTCAGGATTTCGTCTTGTACCAAGATAAGAGTAGTAATGCGGCTGTTGGCATGTCTGTTGTGGCGGATAAAGAGAAATTGGTAAATAAAGTTTTTTTTTACATTTCAGTTTATATGTATCAATGCACACACGCGCAGTTTGAATTACGCTCCTTGTATTCAGTCTTGAATAGTGATTTTTGTACATTTTTCCACTGCCGTCTTAGAATAAAATTGCATTTCCAGGAGGGTTTTGTTGTTGACGGTGACACGATGTACGAGTTGAGGCACGTAGCAGACGATAACTACCACGTGGTGCGAAAGAAAATTGAAAGCATAAACTCAGTCGACGGCACGGGTTTCATTGATACAGACACGGAAGTTCGACATTTTGGCGGAACGAAGGGTAAAGGAGACGATTGCATAAATTACCTAACCAATATACATTTTACAAATATTTATTTTATATATATATATATATATATATATATATATATATATATATATTTGATTCCAAGGTATTGTTGAAATGAATTATTTTCATAGTTTTCAAGTTTTAATTTCGCTTGAAACTGATTTACTGTGGTTCAAGGTTTATCGGAAATATTTGCTTTACCATAATAATATTCTAGAATAATAAGGTTTATCTGAACTATTTTCTTAACCATAATGTTATTCTAGAAGGAAACGCTCAAGAACGTCGGTCCGCTAAAACGATTTCTCTTCCCGAACCACCGTTACTCCGAACCAAAAGACATGGAAAGAAAACGAAAAAAACAAAAACCAAGAAGAACAAAAAATCACCTAAATCGAAAGGCTCACCCAGGTTCAGTGGGAACCATATTGACGCCTGCGTTGAACTTCTTATTCTCAGTGATGACTCGATGTGGGATTTTTATATGGCAAGGAATGACCAGAACGTCGACAAAACTGAACGGGAATTGAAACGGCTTTATGCTAAAATCACGAATATGGTATGTTTTCCTGACTCTAGGATGTTATAAAAAGATGTATATAAAGCAAAAGCTTATGTCAAACCGTGACTGCTTTTAGACTAAAAGTATTTAGATCAATTTAAAACAAATGAAAATCTATTACTTTGGTTGAGTCATTTGAATTAGTGTAGTTTCTTGAAACCTCTAGGTTAGTTGGATCCTTTTCCGAAAAAAATCTTTGCCCGTGAACTCCCATTGAATTTTTTTTCTTTTTTATCTGTTGTATTTAAGGCCGGTGGAATATTTATTTTTATTGCACAACAAGATATTTATTTAAAATTCATCTTGAAGAACGTGTGGCATCTTCGATGAAAATATAATGAATTACATTCATTTCTCTATATGGTTTGATTTTCATCCCTACATTGGCACATAGTTTAGCTCTTGATGTTTCGACTTTGAATTATTTTACAGCTGGACCTCACATTTCAAAGAATAGAAGATCCAGATTTGAATATCCACGTGATGTTGTCAGCTTATGTCATTGTAACGGTAATTGGAAGTTTTTAGCTCTTTGACTAAAGACTCGTTGTTTGTATAAAATCTAAAGGCTTGACTTAAGATTCGTTGTTTGACTTTGTAAGCTGAAGGAAGAAATAGAGGTCAAAAGGTACACTAAAAGAAAAAGTCGTTTTGAGTCGAAACATTTCTTTTTTAACCAATAATGAAATTCTAAGTAATCGTCAATTTTAAACACAATTTTTACTTGCTGTTTTATCTATCGTAACACCTAGTCATAAAAACACTTTTAGAAAAAATGTATCTGGCTTATTTTGTGTTAATTTTTTTCTGTTTTATTTCATCAGAACTCCTCCCAGGCACCCGGCTTCGGTAGATATACTTTCCCTGGAGAACCGGAGAGATTGGACAGAGTTCTGGTTGACGGATACGAAACTTACGATTATTGGAGAGAATTCCTACAAAAATCTTATAACTCATTTCCAAAACATGACCACGGCATGGCTTTTACAAGGTGTCTTAAATGGGCATACAAAAGATTTGAAATTTTCACAGTCTTTTTGTGTTGATATTTTCAGATTTGTGATTATTTTATAAAAATTGTAAAATTTAGATATTTTAAAATACATGATTATCAATTTATAATACCTACAATACCAATCAAGCAGAATCCTAGCTTTATTTTGATAGAGCCCCTTACGCCCCAACCCGAGTCCGAGTGTTTAGGCTGTATTCCCAGAGCTTTTAGATCGATCTATCCCCGCGGGGAGTCTCACTAGATTACTGTCAGATAATCCGGCTTAAATGTCCGTCCAGCCTTCTACGAGCTGTAAGGGGGTAATTAACTTTCGTGTCCGCTCGGCTGACAGCTATTTAGCGTGAACCCCCAGGGAGTTAGGTCGATCTAAAGTAGATCGATCTAATCTCTGGAAATGGGGTCTTATTTGTAGTAGGCCTAATGTTTCATGTTATTTTTCGCAGGCGAGATATAACAAGCCGTACGCCGGAAAAACCTTACCTTCTCGGTCTAGCTAATGTGGGTGCAATATGTAATAGAGCTGGTTCCACGTCTCTTGTTGAGGATTCCGGGCTGCTGTCCTACCTCACGGCAGCACATGAATTAGGCCACAGGTATGCGCGCGCGCTCGTACTACAACTTGTCTCTAAAAGAAAGCAATGCTTCTCTTCTTAGTTTCTTAGACGACCTATGTTGATGTAATATTTCATGACACGACGTATGCCTTATTGTAATGTTGTGCACTGTATTTTCTTCTTTTCCAGCCTCGGAGCTCTTCATGACGTCACTCCTGCCTGTAGGGGCCACCTGATGACTGCCTCTATTTTTGAAGTCAATGTGACGACTCTTTTTCAATATTATAAGTTCTCCTCTTGTTCCATAGAGAAATTTAAAGAAACCCTGACGTAAGTAACTCCCAACGCATTGCTCAAATGTGGGTTACCGCGGGCCTTATAAGTATTTCAATTTGATCGAAAAAGAAAATAAATTTCGGAAAAGACTTAGGGATGTTGAGCTTAGCGACGGCTAAAATCGGATAGCCGACTAAGTGAGGTAAATACTGCTATAGGTGATCATTAGTGCCATACTGGTCTGAGAGTTTTTGAGTATGATTGGCCCATAATAAATATGAATTTGGCAGAAAGAAATGGGCTACTTTCACCTATATCAAACGTTTGTTAATTGCCAATCACAATTTACGTAATAATTATAAACAATAAAAAGACAGCCTTTTAAAATCTTTGTGAAAAGCAACCTAGTCGAAAAAGTTTTTGTAGGTTTTGTATGTAACACAAAAAACTGTATTGCTTTTTTTGTTTTGTATTGTTTTGTTTATGTAAATTAAGCTTATTAAACATATGTATAGGTTTACGTGTTGTGCGTAATTACTACTGTATATAGATACAACAGCATTTTATGTTAGTTTATAGTATTCCACGATAAATATCGTTTTTTCCAAGCATGAAATAAATGTTAAAATAATTATTAAAATGTTATTATATTTTTACCACTCATCAAGAAATGCCTGTTGTCTCGCTGACAGTGGACAGTACGAAAATGAGAAAGAATTTAAACATATGACGAAAAAGCTTCACGGTGAACAATACAATGCAGACGAACAATGTCAGCTGGTATTTGGAAACGAGTCGAAAGCATGCACGGTAAGATCTGGCCCTTCTTCATCCTTCTTCAAAGTCTCTCTCTCTCTCTCTCTCTCTCTCTCTCTCTGTGTGTGTTGAAGTTTCTTAAAGATTAGTTCTGTTAAAAAGTTATCATGTTTTCAGTGGAAACCGCCTGCCACTTTGATTGTACTTTCAGCCTATCGAATCTCCAGAATTTTGTCATTTTCTACTATGCAATACTACGACGTCATGCCATAACCAGCTGAATCCGATGGATGGCACTTTCTGTGGAAAAGGAAAATGGTGTATAGAGGGCGACTGTGTAAGTAAAAGGGCGCCTCTTCCCTCGCACTATACTCAACGACGCGGGGCTAGTGGTGAACCGACTTCTTGGTGTTCAGAAGGTAAGGGGACGAGAAGTGTAAAATACGGCTTGGTTAAGGCTTGAAAAGGTTTCTTCAAGTTCTCATGGTAATTATAAAGCCCAATGTTCTCATTCAACTAGGATATTTGACTTTAACCACGACTTTGCCTCGTACAAATTAACCATTTTAACATTAAATAAATAATAAATAGGCCTAAGTATTATTTTTACAGATGGATTTTAGACCTACATGCGTCGAAGTCTAGGCAATGGCAAGGAGTTAAAAAAAACGCCTATTATCTTATCATAAATTGTTTGACTACCAAGTACATATTATCTTTCGTTTTTCAGTGCGGCGGAAATGACGGGAATACAAAGACTTGTAAAATGCCCAGAGAATACCTCCATACGCCATAGGTCTACCAAGTTTCTTTTATTTGTAGTCCAGGAAATACATGTATGCGCGAGCACTATATTAATATTGTTACAGTGGTTTCTATCAATACTATATGGAACACGGTCCAAGACAAGATCCACAGGACAAGAAAGGGAAAGGTGGAATATATTGTCCTATGCAGCATTCTATTTCTTAAACATATTGTCATAGAACAGACTTATATGCACTGTACAAAATATACATGTAAAAAAAGTATCTCAGCAGTGTAAAAAGGAATGGCACAATAGGTTTTTACTATCATTTATTTCTCGATGTTTGCATTTTCAGTTGGCAGCCCAATTTTGTAATCAATATAATGTGCTTTATTGTTTTATGTGATGAAACTCTTGGATGACACGATAATTATTACAATTATTTTAAATGGTATTTTTTCACCATATTCCGACGTTTTATTCTTGGTTTACGTGGATTCATGATAATGTGTCCCAAAAGCACCAAAAATGTAAAATTTTATTGAGACATTTTTATTGTTTTTCCTTTTTTAAAAGTAATTTTAAAAAGTCTAGACTTGCTTCACCAAAGCTATTTTAACTCATTACATTACTTGCAGTCTACATCTTTGAGTAGTCGTAGAGCTAGGGTCACCTTACCGTCTCTCTGTCGTCTCTCTCTCTCTCTCTACATTTGAGAGCCACGGATTTTATAGGAGATCATGCTGATTTCTGCTTGCCACAAATCTACCATTCTATCTACTGTACATGTACATATGTCTTGTAATAAAGTAAATTTATCATCCATCATCACTATTATTTTCACACAGGATTTTTTTACTTTACTTTATCTCTGACTGTATGTTTGTGTCCGCTTGGTAAACAAGATAAATAAAACTGAATACTGGGACTTCATTACTTCTTTTAGTTGCCCTAAACATGAATATATTCTCCGAGTACGTACCTGTGACTCGTACCTGGGACTGGCTTAAACCAAATTACCTCACCTCTGGTGACTTATTTAGGTGGACGAGATCAAAAGAGCCAAATGACAGTAATGAACCACAACTATTTCTTCAACTTTAGAATCGTTACTTGATCTCCCTTTTCCGTCAGCTTTAAGTGGGTGGATATTTATTATTTAAAATTTTTAACTTTGAAGAGACTTTAGTTTCTTGTTTAGACTTCTTTTTCGTGGTTTGGATTTACATTTAAGATCGAAAATAAATAGTGTAACACTACCGCTATATTATTACTGTTTACTGGATTTATATCCCTGTACTTGACCAGACGATGGGACCCCAAGGTTTTCTTTCCTTTTTTTAACTACCTTTTTTAAACTAATCATGGCACGTGTAGTTCTACCTTTCTCCTGTATTTGAAGGTCTTTGCCACTGGCGGTTTGAGTTGTTTTGGACCGTCTCATCTGCTGTCTTTAAAAAACCACAGGAGGGGATCTGCACCAAACAAACTAGCTGCCTGCTGCCTGTCAGTGCCAGTTGTAATTTATTTCTTGTCAATGGACTCTTTGCCCAACACGATCGAATTAATTAATTACGTCAACAACAATTGTACTTATGCAACAAGCATTAACATCCCATAGCTGTACATTGTCATACATGGTCCACGTTATAATAATAATAATAATAATAATAATAATTTATTCGAGCATTAAATGTGACAGTAACATTTGTTAGCCCTCTATACTACAAATAGATAAATGTTTTAAAGGTTATACCCAGACAAACTCAACGAGGTAAAAGAGTGCATTTTGTTTTGGTACTGATAACGCAGGATTTCGGTGGGAACCCGACCAATAACTTGAATGCTCCTCGCTTTTTATTTGTCATTTGTCTCACCAGTTATCCACGCTGCCGAGTTCCATATAGGTAGTTGATAAAGACTATCAGGTTGGATGAATACAAAGAAAGGCTTGAAAGAGAAAAGGGGTGTTTATATGTTGAAAATCCGAAATATAAAGGTCAAAATCAGAAAAAAATTTTTTTTAAAAGTTATGCAGGGTGCACATGTACTTCTTTTAGAACTAACATTATCTGCAATAAACTCTTCTTCCAGTCGTTACAAATTTTGATAATAATGATCATTTTACACTAGAGAGTATTTGTGAAAACGGATGGGGGGGGGGGGGTATCTGGGTCACAACGGCCTGGCACTCATCGTCAAATGATGCAACTTTTTGTAGATCAAATTATTTCTGTGCGCGCTCTAACCTTCACTTCTGAAAATATAACTATATGCATCTTATGCAGTTCGTTTCTTTCAAATTTAAACAGTGACCTAGACACTCCTGCGGCACCTGTGCGGAATTTTGAGGCTGGCGCGACAGATATGACGAATTAGAAAATGCAATTTTGATGACATGTTTTCGGTGTTGAACTTTCCTGATTGGTTAATAAGCGAACACTGTTGTGTCACCCCCTCGTTTTTCACTAACCTTCTTCAGTTTTATCAACAAACCCGTTTATATAATTTAAATATGTTAAGAAGAAAACTCTGCCGAACAAACACAAAGTTTGCAGCTTATACCTGTTTACAATCGGACGTAGCGGGACAATTTCACCCCCCCCCCCCCAAAAAAAAAAGTTGCAAAAAAAGTAAAAGTGCCGCCAGTGAGGGGAGGACATACAATATTTACTATGAATTGCTAAAAATATTTTTAATACAGACACGTGTACAGTGCAACACGATTCACACCAATAACTAAATAAAGTGGAATTGGAAAGACAGTGAAATATGGATAAGATAAGCAAGTACGAGTGAATAAGGTTGAATAGAGAAAGTCCTGTTGCTACCAGTGAAAGGGAATACTTAGGTTTAACGGGACGGAACACGTTAATATCACCAATAAGTTAATAAAGATCATTTCCATTTTTCATTGCCTATCTACATTGATATAATATGATGGTGATTTGACTATCATCTATTTGTCATTTGTGTCAAATTTACCATAGCATTACAAAAAGAATGTTTTTTATAAATATTTATTTTGTCACGTTTACAGTGCGCATTTTATTAAATGGTTCACATTACATTTAATTTAACTCTTTGAATGTTTGTATTTTAACCACAAGTTGATGCTTTAATTGTTAGTAAAAAAAAATGTACCGCCGGCAAGTATATTATTTCTAGAAAATTATTTTTTTTTGTTTTTGCTCTATGAAGGTCGAACGCTCATTGTCTGTCTTTAAACGAGTTTGTGGAAATGAAAATCCCATGATTGTTATGATGATGAAAAGAATAATGATATTAATTTTGGTGTCTGGCATCGCCTGGGGATTGGCCAAAGCTCGAGTTATGGTATATAAGCAGTGACCACGACGGACGAATTGGCATTTGAAGAGGTACAGGTAAGGCACTGTAAGAACAGCTCGCGGGGGAGTTTTATTCACTATTATGAGCAAGGGAATAAGATAAGTCATGCAATGGCTCGTTTTGATGATTCAAATAGAAGAGTTTTAAGAAACATTGCTCTCACTACAGAAAAAAAGAAATTTTGAGTTGAAAGTCATTATCTTGGATCTTCTGAGATTGAAAACAAAATGTATACTTAAAGACTCAAACAAGCGAAAGGGTGTCACAAATTCTTTTCGTATTTTTATATGTCTGCTTACAGGTAACAATTTTGTTTTCACAGCTAGTGTTCAATGGAAACTACAATGGTGCTTTTCGCCGCGTTGTGTCTTTCTGTTGTTGTTCAAGTACAAGGTATGTGCGCCTCGAATTCATTTTTTTTTCTATTATTTGTCCAAAACAAAATTCATCCTCGGTGGCAATGATTTACTGACTACAAAACAAGGAGTGCATAATGCAAAAATATACCTTTTTTTCTTGAAAATGCATATAACTAATTGTGTAAGTTAAAGAAAAAAGGACTAAAATTTGTTCCTTTGGGTTTTGATTGCGTGTTATGAAGCTAATTTTTTTAAAGACGATATTGTTTCGAAAAAGCAATTCAGAAGACCAAAATGGTTGTTTATTTATTTATTGCACAGGTCACAGTTGGTCCAGATGGTACGATCGCGACGACCCTTCGGCTACCGGCGACTGGGAAACTGTCGCTGATCTGCGGGTATGTGAAGTTTTTCTTTTCTGTTTGAACATCTTTACTTGTTGAATGGCTGATGCAGGGTCTTGCTGTGTGTGTGGATGGGTGGTTGGGGGTGGGGGGTATATGTATGTATAAAGAGCGGAAAGATGTAGCCAATAAGAAATAGTTGTTGATGAGTACAATCACATTGTCTTACATAGTTCTCAGGTTTGAAAACGTTGGCGTGTTTTGTCTCGCTCTCTTTTGTTATAGTGATATCTGGGAGAGAATGAAAGGTGATGTTGAAGCCACTTTGAACCACAAATACGTCATTGTTACTCATAGCAGTGATAGTTAACTGGGTTTGAATGCCTACACGGTTTTGAGCGGCTATCAAAGAAGAGAAAGGGCAGCACTCCCATTAATTTCTCTATCAATTTCAGAAATCTCACTACATTTGTGGTGGCTGCAAGCCGATTGGGGCCGAGTGTCGTGTTAAAGGCTCCTCTACTGTCTTCACGCGCTGGAGGGGTTCTGCACCCGATAAGCTCGCTGCCAACTGCCTCCCAACAACTGGTTTGATATGCAAGAACGCCGATCAAGGCTCTGGAGGCTACTGCAAGGACTACGAGATACGGTTTCTCTGCCCTTCTACAAGTAAGAATGACTTAAATCAACCCATTTTAATATATTTTAATTGAAAACTAACAGTTAAAAACGTGTTATCTTAATTGAAAACTAAAAGTGAAAATAATTAAGTGCTTTGCTTTAGACATTTATACTTCCGTTATGACTTCTGGGACCGGTTTTTAGAATGCTTGTCGTTATCATCATTATTTTAATTTTATCATCATTACTTACGTTTTACATTTGTAGAGGTGGAAACGGGACCGTATTTAGACAGAGATGACCCAAGTGCAACTGGAGACTGGGAAAGCGTGTCTAGTTTTCAAGTAATCAAAAATTTAGTTTTTTAAATCTACGCATTGGAATTGTGAAAAAATGAGATTTCAAATCATACACAATTGCGACCTGAGTCTTTTCTGAATATCTAAATACTGTAAAATATTTTGTACGTTTATTTTGTAAAAAAAGATTAGAAAAGATTTAATGCATAATAAGCAGTCCTGCTAAAACCTTAACATTGAAAAACCGAAAAGCTTGTTCACAGCAATTTGTTTATTAGATACAGACAAATTATCATTATTCAGACATGTCCGTGAATAAGCACTGACAAAGATTACAGCTATGGTTCAGCAGATGAGCCTATATTTTTTTAAAAACAACTTATTTGCTTGTGAAGAAATCTGGCAAAGAAGAAAGTATAAGGTCAATACGGGTGTTTCAAATCTGCGAGAAATAACCGTAGGACTTATTTTTTCTGTGCAGATAACTGACAATAACAACATTTGCCGTGGTGTGCGACCCCTTTGTACGCTCTGCCGTGACAAGAGCGACAAGACGCCATATTACAGCACTGGGGACAAGTTCAATGACGGGCTGGCGTGTGGCTGGGACACTGGACTCGTGTGTACCACTGAAGTGAACGGCAAATACTGTAAAGATTACGAAGTGCAGTTTCGCTGCCCTGTCATCGGTAGGCAAATTTTTTATCCCAAACTACAGTTCTGATGTGTGTCAGTTTCGTCGTGTTTAATCATATATATATATATATATATATATATATATATATATATATATATATATATATATATATATGAATAAATTCATTACTTGGTACAATATGGAAATATTAAGCTTGTCCGCCTCGTCTCTGAACCACAGGCTTGTAAACATTGCGGCGGAGTACTGTGACACTTTAAAATTTCGAATGGAATTGAACCTCTCTCCCCTCGTGTAAACAGTATGTACGCGCACGTGCGCGCGTGTGTGTGTGTGCACGTGTGCATAATACTCGTATATGTGTAGGTGCGTGCGTCCGCGTTCAATAATTCCTGCCCGCGTGCCGGGACAGAGGAAGAGTAGCGTTAGTGGTATGGTGATTGGGTAGGTGTAAATTGTAGAGAATGTATGCTATACCAGTTGTTATAGGTATTTTAACGCCAATAAGAAACGCACTTCCAAAGTGTACATTAACACCCCATACTGTTTCAGGCAAGGCCAACCGTATCTAAAACTCAAAAAGGTAACAGAGTGAGCCTGATAACATGAAAACTCGGTGGGAACAATGAAAATCTAAGAGTCTGTGGTGCTTTTTACATCATTTTTCATTCATCGGTTGATTACTCTTTTGACTTTTGAACGCAGACATTAGTTTGTCTTCTTTCCACGCGTTAGTTATAGACTGTAACAGACGCGAGGAGGTGACATGAAATGAACAAATAAGATGACAAATTGAAAAAATGTCACATGCCACGCGCACGCAACACTACGATAGCACAACGCAACACTAAGATAGCACAGCTACATTCTATTTATTTTGGTTTGTTGCAGTATTTGTCCTGTGATATTCACAGGATATTCACGGAAACGTCTCAATATGCAGTATATATGTGACAGAAAAAAACAGCAGTTATTTTACCCCGACCTGTTTCATCGCATCTTCAGTGGGTTTGTTTATTTTGGTCGATCCAACAAACCCCCTGAAGATGCGATGAAACCGGTCGGGGTAAAATGACTGCTGTTTTTTATTTCTTTTTGTCATATGTATATACAAGCACAGGAAAAACACTTTTACTTTCAATATACAGACTTGACATTTAATATGGAATATTTTTTCCAAATCATTGTCATCAGTTTTTTCAATAAGGATTAAAATCGTGTTTTAATAACTTTTAATTACCTCTTTGATGTCATTGTGACATCAGTTCATTAATGGAATTCGCCAGAGAAGCAAACAAAAACACATTGCTTATTCTATGTCATACGACAACAATTAAAAGAGATATTTTGGATCTCCATATTTTCCAAATTATTATCTGTAAAAGAGTTACACTCTCCACAAAGGACCCTCATGTCAGTGTCTAGTCACAGTAATGGTCGCTGTTACGCCTGGCCTCTTCTGGCTGCTACAAGCGCTTTCAAGTGGCAAGGCATTCCGTGGGATATGTTTTTAGAGTTCAATCTGGAATGACATTCTAGGCATTGGTCAAAATCTGTCCAATTTGGTCCATTTTTGTTGTAGGACATATAGGCCATTGATTCGGCAAGTAATGACCTACCCAAATATCGTCTATGTGGTTCAAATGTGGCCATTTCAATGACCAAGGTTGCTGCTCATTCACTTGGTTTTGTATGTAATCTGCTATTAAAAGTGGTCTGTGTGAAATGGCTATCTCACTTTGCAACCTAAAATTGTTCCTAAGGTGCCCCCTATCAAATGATGGTCAAGTGGTTCCCAGATTATTCCTTGATTTGATCTGGTTCAGGTTTTCGTCAATGACTACCATTGGTGTTTTGGCACCAATGTGGTATCAACTGACGCTGTTAATGACCTTAGTCACTTAAGACGCGGCACACGCTTCGTCGCTGGTCTCTTCTGGATGTCTGTAAACTCTGTTTCGACTAGTTGAGCGGTTCAGGTGAAATCTGACCTCAATAAAGAACGCCACGAAGTTTCAGTGTTCAACCTAGAAACGGTCATGGTCCCCAATTCAAAGATGCTTTGCTGTTTACAGTGGGTTCCCCGGAGGTCGTCTGGTAATCTTACCTGCTAAAACCAGGTTGGTGTTCGCTAAGTTCCTTGAAAATTGCGTTTTGGTGGCAATTTACCCCTCATTCTGAACGAACTGGGTGGTTTTTGTTTAGTTGCAACAGCATATCTCGTGGGTCCTGTACCCTAGTGGTAAGATTTCAATTCACAGGATATTCACGGAAACGTCTCAATATACAGTATATATGTGACAGGAAGAAATAAAAAAAACAGCAGTTATTTTATCCCGACCGGTTTCATCGCATCTTCAGTGGGTTTGTTTATTTTGGTCGATCCAACAAACCCCCTGAAGATGCGATAAAACCGGTCGGGGTAAAATGACTGCTTTTTTTAAATTCTTTTTGTCACATATGTATATACAAGTACAGGAAAAACACTTTTACTTTCAATATATATCTTTTTTTACTTTCTTCCAGTTACGGCGTTACTAGTTACTGTTTATGGCTATAATGGGATTGTAATTGTCTTTTAGGAACTTGCACGACATGCGGAAACGCACGCTGGACGAACTGGCTGAACAGAGACATTCCCACTGCTACCGGAGATTGGGAGAACGTCGGACCAACAGGGCACAACCCGGTATTGCTATTTTCTCGCATTTAGTTAATTAATTGCTGTTCCATTGCCTTATTATGATCTACCCTGTAAATTTTAAAACAACGATCCCATTTTTATGTAGACTATTATCTATTTACCATTTGTATCCAATTAACTGTAGCACTAACACAAAGCATGATTTTTTCTTATTAATATCATATTTTTTCCTCGGTTTAAAGTGCGTTTTCAGTCCACAAAGAACTGAAACTTTTGAAACAAAATAGCCTACAATGCATTTGATCTGATTTTGATGTCCATATACGAATACAAGAAAATGATGCTATCTTTAAGCAATTGTCTTCTTTTTCTTATATTTTTCTCTTCTTTTTTCTCTTTTCTTTTCTTTTTTTCCATTTAAATTTATACACTCCTTTTGTTCCAGTGCAACAGCCACGAGCCTATCGACATCCAATGTCGCGAAAAATCAACCGAGCAGCCATGGGACCAAACCGGGCAGGTTTTCAAAAACAAGTGCACTCCTTCTGAGGGTCTCGTTTGCGTCAATGCGGATCAGGCCTCCGGACAGTCTTGCAAGGACTACGAGGTCCGCTTCCTGTGCCCATAGAAGAATTTAAGTTCTGGGACGAACACTACTTGCACATGGCTTCTTGTTTTTATCGTTACAATTGAAATATCTTTGCTGATGTAGCCTTTTCATATACTTATCTAGATTAATAAGTCAACATAATAGTAATTGTTTATTATTGAAATTTATCTACCGTAAAACTTATTTGAGAGTGAGCTGAAAAAATATCGTCTTCCAAAAGAAAATCAACAAATACCAAATACCAAAATGCAATAACCTGTAGATGAATTAAAGTAGCAGAACAAGCCTAAAATCAAATAAGTCTTGTGTTTTTATTAGATACAGCGAGACTGGTGACATGAAAGTATGGTAAAGGTGAAGCTACGGTATTTGAATTACCAAACAGATTACTTAAAAATGTGCAAACAAAACAGAAGCTGAAAGTAAAACAACGCAAAATCTCATTCTCTGGTCTGTTTAGTAACATAAAGGGTCGAATGGGTGAGGGAGGAGCGAGCACACTGTGCCTTTTTTAATATGGTACAACGTGGACCATTTCTCATTATTATTTACAATTTACTTTTTTACATCAGGCTTCGGTGTCATGCACTTGTCTTTTCACCTCTTTACTTATAGAACCGCCACATACACGTATCAGTGATTTCAAAGTGCTGGGCCCCGTTTCACAAAAAAACTTAAGTCGGTTTCCCTGACTAAGAGCTTGGTTACCAACGTAATTAAGTCGTTACGTCACTAAGTCCCGTTTCACAAAGAATCTAAAAGGTCGCTTACGTCGTTTTTTCTTGGCTTCTAGTCGACGATGTCTAGCCTCCTCGGGAGGAGACTTTTGACAGCTAGCTCAACTAAAAGTCGGTAAATTACAGCATAAACAACAAAAATTTTGAAAGAACATACCTCCTTCAAGATATAACTCGAGCTAGTCAACTACGGATTTAAGATTCTTACTACAATACGGAACCATATACGGCAATGGCTCAATCTTTTCAATGGGGAAAAACTGTAAATTCTAAAGATATTGTAGTTTGTTCCATTAACTATTGCTTTTAAGACTTTTCCATTGAGTCGAAGTAGCAAAAGTGAAAACTAAGCTACTCTGCAGTTACTTTAGATTGACCTAACTCCCTGGGGGTTCACGCTAAATAGCTGTCAGCCGGGCGGACACGAAAGCTAATTACCCCCTTACAGCTTGTAGTAGGCGGGACGGAATTTTAAGCCAGATTATCTGACAGTAATCTAGTGAGACTCCCCGCGGGGATAGATCGATATAAAAGCTCTGGGAATACAGCCTTAGACCCTATTTCCATAGATTTTAGATCGATCTATCCCTGTGGGGAGTCTCACTAGATTACTGTCAGCTTAGCCGGCTTAAGCGTCTGCCCCGCCCACTGAAAGCTGTAAGGGGGTAATTAACAATGGTGCGCGCTCCGCTGACTGCAATTTAGCGTGAACCCCCAGGTAGTTAGGTGGATTTAAATCTTAATCCCTGGATCGATCTAAATCTCTGGGAATACACCCTTAGAGGTCACGGGAAACTCGCCAGAAGTATAAAGGTACATGTAGTTTCAAACTGACCTATATGAAACCCAGGGTGCTTTGCGGCCACCACACAAGAAGTATGTGGTATTCTTATTTTCACATCGTAGTGTTTTTTCTTCCAGGTTGGAGAATGGGGCTGACAGCTAGGGATTTGGAACCGGAGGACACGTATGAATCAATATGAGGCTTATAGCTACTGTACATTAAATTAATGTCAATAGAGGTCATCAGTGGAATACAATTTTTTATTCTATATTCGAAAAAAAAAAAACAGGTGCGATTTTTCTGACAGGGAAGCCTCAGCTGATTTATACCTTGGATTCCTTGGACACAGACAATTAAAGGTAATTTACAGAAAAAAGCAGTGTGTTGAATGCCTTCTTGTGTTTGGTAAAAAAACTGCGAGTGTACAGACAATATTTCCATCTAAATGGATTTTATCCGTAAATATTTTATTCAAATTCTTTTTATATCTTGTTAAAGACGAATTTATTTAACAGTAGTAGATGTGAGCTACATTAATGAGGCTGACTGACCTAATAAACGGTGCAAGGCATATCAATTGTCCTAAGGTCTCTTTTCAAAACTAGAGCATCAATATTTTCTCGATTCAGTTTAATGTCTTGTCATAGACGTTGCATGCAGTGACACAGACCCTTAAGTTTGCGATTAGGGCAATGAGTCGATGTATTCAATTACGAAATTATCAGCCTTTCAGATCAATAATTTTAACATTAAAATTCTATTTTAAGATAGTGTTTGTGGTGCTTTTACGGTATAGAATAGAACTGCAGAGTAGCTTGGTTTTCACTTTTGCTACTTCGACTCAATGGAAAAGTCTTAAAAGCAATAGTTAATGGAACAAACTACAATATCTTTAGAATTTACAGTTTTCCCCATTGAAAAGATTGAGCCATTGCCGTATATGGTTCCGTATTGTAGTAAGAATCTTAAATCCGTAGTTGACTAGCTCGAGCTATATCTTGAAGGAGGTATGTTCTTTCCAAATTTTTGTTGTTTATGCTGTAATTTACCGACTTTTAGTTGAGCTTGCTGTCAAAAGGCTCCTCCCGAGGAGGCTAGACATCGTCGACTAGAAGCCAAGAAAAAACGACGTAAGCGACCTTTTAGATTCTTTGTGAAACGGGACTTAGTGACGTAACGACTTAATTACGTTGGTAACCAAGCTCTTAGTCAGGGAAACCGACTTAAGTTTTTTTGTGAAACGGGGGCCAGCACTTTGAAATCACTGATACGTGTATGTGGCGGTTCTATAAGTAAAGAGGTGAAAAGACAAGTGCATGACACCGAAGCCTGATGTAAAAAAGTAAATTGTAAATAATAATGAGAAATGGTCCACGTTGTACCATATTAAAAAAGGCACAGTGTGCTCGCTCCTCTCTCACCCATTCGACCCTTTTTGTTACTAAACAAACCAGAGAATGAGATTTTGCGTTGTTTTACTTTCAGCTTCTGTTTTGTTTGCACATTTTTTAAGTAATCTGTTTGGTAATTCAAATACCGTAGCTTCACCTTTACCATACTTTCATGTCACCAGTCTCGCTGTATCTAATAAAAACACAAGACTTATTTGATTTTAGGCTTGTTCTGCTACTTTAATTCATCTACAGGTTATTGCATTTTGGTATTTGGTATTTATTGATTTTCTTTTGGAAGACGTGTTTTTAATCAGCTCACTCCCAAATAAGTTTTTCGGTAGTTAAATTTCAATAATAAACAATTACTATCATGTTGACTTATTAATCTAGATAAGTATATGAAAAGGCTACATCAGCAAAGATATTTCAATTGTAACGATAAAAACAAGAAGCCATGTGCAAGTAGTGTTCGTTCCAGAACTTAAATTCTTCTATGGGCACAGGAAGCGGACCTCGTAGTCCTTGCAAGACTGCCCGGAGGCCTGATCCGCATTGACGCAAACGAGACCCTCAGAAGGAGTGCACTTGTTTTTGAAAACCTGCCCGGTTTGGTCCCATGGCTGCTCGGTGGATTTTTCGCGACATTGGATGTCGATAGGCTCGTGGCTGTTGCACTGGAGCAAAAGGAGTTTATAAATTTAAATGGAAAAAAAGAAAAGAAAAGAGAAAAAAGGAGAGAAAAATATAAGAAAAACAAGACAATTGCTTAAAGATAGCATCATTTTCTTGTATTCGTATATGGACATCAAAATCAGATCAAATGCACTGAAGCCTTTTTTGTTTCAAAAGTTTCAGTTCTTTGTGGACTGAAAACGCACTTTAAACCGAGAAAAAATATGATATTAATAAGAAAAAATCATGCTTTGTGTAGTGCTACAGTTAATTGGATACAAATGGTAAATATATAATAGTCTACATAAAAATGGGATTGTTGTTTTAAAATTTACAGGGTAGATCATAATAAGGCAATGGAACAGCAATTAATAAACTTAATGCGAGAAAATAGCAATACCGGGTTGTGCCCTGTTGGTCCGACGTTCTCCCAATCTCCGGTAGCAGTGGGAATGTCTCTGTTCAGCCAGTTCGTCCAGCGTGCGTTTCCGCATGTCGTGCAAGTTCCTAAAAGACAATTACAATCCCATTATAGCCATAAACAGTAACTAGTAACGCCGTAACTGGAAGAGAGTAAAAAAAGATATATATTGAAAGTAAAAGTGTTTTTCCTATACTTGTATATACATATGTGACAAAAAGAATTTAAAAAACAGTATATATATGACAGAAAGAAATAAAAAACAGCAGTTATTTTACCCCGACCGGTTTCATCGCATCTTCAGGGGGTTTGTTGGATCGACCAAAATAAACAAACCCACTGAAGATGCAATGAAACCGGTCGGGGTAAAATAACTGCTGTTTTTTATTTCTTTCTGTCATATATATACTGTATATTCAGACGTTTCCGTGAATATCCTGTAAATATCACAGGACAAATACTGCAACAAACCAAAATAAATAGAATGTAGCTGTGCTATCTTAGTGTTGCGTTGTGCTATCGTAGTGTTGCGTGCGCGTGGCATGTGACATTTTTTCAATTTGTCATCTTATTTGTTCATTTCATGTCACCTCCTCGAGTCTGTTACAGTCTATAACTAACGCGTGAAAAGAAGACAAACTAATGTCTGCGTCCAAAAGTCAAAAGAGTAATCAACCGATGAATGAAAAATGATGTAAAAAGCACCAGAGTCACTTAGATTTTCATTGTTCCCTCCGAGTTTTTATGTTATCAGGCTCACTCTGTTACCTTGTTGAGTTTTAGATACGGTTGGCCTTGCCTGAAACAGTATGGGGTATTAATGTACACTTTGGAAGTGCGTTTCTTATTGGCGTTAAAATACCTATAACAACTGGTAAAGCATACATTCGCTACAATTTGCACCTACCCAATCACCATACCACTAACGCTACTCTTCCTCTGTCCCGGCACGCGGGCAGGAATTATTGAACGCGGACGCACGCACCTACACATATACGAGTATTATGCACACGTGCACACACACACACGCGCGCGCGCGCGTACATACTGTTTACACGAGGGGAGAGAGGGTTCAATTCCATTCGAAATTTTAAAGTGTCACAGTACTCCGCCGCAATGTTTACAAGCCTGTGGTTCAGAGACGAGGCGGACAAGCTTAATATTTCCATATTGTACCAAGTAATGAATTTATTCATATATATATATATATATATATATATATATATATATATATATATATATTTGATTAAAAAAGACGAAACTGACACACATTAGAACTGCAGTTTGGGATAAAAATTTGCCTACCGATGACAGGGCAGCGAAACTGCACTTCGTAATCTTTACAGTATTTGCCGTTCACTTCAGTGGTACACACGAGTCCAGTGTCCCAGCCACACGCCAGCCCGTCATTGAACTTGTCCCCAGTGCTGTAATA